CTGAGCATCTAATATGACCAGATATTCACTACTATGGAACCAAAGTTCAAAATGCCAAGATTAAAACCTACTTCAGAATGCAATCTGATTATGATACCCATTAACTTTGTGTCTGACATAGCTTAGGTGCTGAAAATTGAAATGTGAAGTGATTAGAGTGAATGGTAAGTGTTTGCATAAAGAAGCTCAGTGAGAATGGGTCAGTGTGTCTGCTGATGCTGTTGAAGTCAAGGGCCTTGTGGGGGTAGAAGCATCACAGAACGGCTGATAAATAACCTCTGGGTTGCAAAGGATGAGGCAGCTTTTGGCCTGTGGCCCAGGAGGGACGAAGGATGTTACACACACACACACACACACACACACACACACACACACACACACACACACACACACACACGAAACAGCTTGAGCAAAGGCCAGCTGCTAGAGGCAGGTGGTTCAGGGCAGATGACATAGTGAGAATGCCCTGCGATGGATCAGGGGATGAAGCCTCAGAGGTTGGGGCACAGGGGGCAGAAGGGGCAGCAATGACTGATGCCACGCGGCCTGGATTTTATCTGGCAACGTATAGAAAGCCCTGGAAGGCATTCAGGAAGTAACATGGGCAAAACAGATCTGGGCTGTCAAGCAACCTATTTTGTTAGTCGGTAGAGGACAGAATAACTACCTCTCCTCCCATTCCCTTGGGTAAATCCTGTCTCATAAAATTTGCACAATAATACAGATGCTCACGGGGGAGGAGGGCACTGATTTTGGGTATAAGGATGTTTCAAGGGTTGCTTGGGATATACTTATACTGAAACGACTATCCCTTGTTTTTCTGACATGCAAATGCAATTGAGTGGCCTGTACTTTTATTTGCTAAATGGGTCAACGCTAGCCTTGGATTCTCTCTGGCTCAGGCCCAGAGCGGACACTGCCTCTGAGAAGCAGGACCAGGAGGAATAAAGCTTGTGCTATTAGGAGTCGGGAGATGTTTTACAGGATCATGGTCAGTATGATCTCCCCCTGATCTGCTCATTCCCCAGGAGAATCTGAAATCTGAAAACAATGGGCTTGGCACTGAACAAAGAGCTGGCATGTTGCGGGACTGCTGGAGGGGAAAATAATTGAACTTAAATAATAACTTATCTGTTCAAGCAAATGCCAGTACACTTAAAATAAGGAAGCCCTGGAGTTTCCCAGCATGCTCAGAGCGCTGATGTCTGTATCACAGGTTGATGGCAAGAATTTCCTGAGGAAGTATGCAAGCGGTGGCCTTCTGTGATCTTTTCTGGTTTTTGAACACTGGCTGTAGCTCACGTTAGCTTGTAGAGCATTGATTTTGTGCTTGGCATGTAGGACGTTGCTCCTACTCACACCTAATACTTTACAAGCCTCTCCCCATTGGACCAAGTTAAGTTCAGAGCTCATAAAAAGTTAAGTTCACATAAAAAATAATTGGATCATAACAGCCACTGGGCATAGCAATTATTTGGAAATTTTAATATATAAATGAATAATTTTTATTTAGAAAAACTTCCATGACTAAACGCCATCAAATCTAATTTTCCCGGAGAGGTAAGCTCATATTCTAGTAGGTTTCCCCCTACATAACTGGAGAGAATTTTTAGCAAGAGCTTCAATAAGCTTCCTTCTGCAGGAATAATTTTGTGATTTCATGCAAGGAAAATCTCTCCTGGAGGTAAGTGAGAGATGAAGCTGTGAGACGTTCTACTCAGAATCGTTTTCTTTCCTCTTCCAACCAAATGGCCAGAGGACATTTTCTCTTTGGATTCTTTGATTGTATTTTTTTTTTTCTAGAAGCAAGCAGAATATTCACAATACACTTTAACTGAAATTTGCCTTAAGCCTTATAAATTGTATGTCCGTGAGCCTTCCAAGGTGGGAAAACCCTAACAATTTCAGTTAGAGAAATTTAGGCTCCCCTTTACTTAAGCTGGGTTGTGGGATTCCTGGTTTTCCTGGGGATAAAGTATTGCTGAGGACCACTTCTAATAGACTCCACAGACTGACACTTACTGAGCACCTACTCAGCGCCAGAGATGGATTACAGGCCACACCATGGGGAATCCTTCACCTGGGCCCTGCTAGTGAAAAACCCACCTTCAGCAAAAAGGGCAGACAAGACTATTTTTCCTTTTCTCCAACATACTCAAATACTTAAATGTTTCACATTGCAAGCTCCAATGAGGTAAACATGCAACATATGAGCTATGATACTATGAAGAATTTATAAATTATTAAATGGCGGGGAAGTAAGAGCTTTACTATCTTATTCTGTTAGAATGGAAAACAGGAATCCTGTTAAAAAGCTTATTAGCTTATTCTCTCATCGCCTAACCTCCGCACATCATCTTGCGTCTTATTTTTCAATTACTTCCTAATCTTTACAGCTTTCCTTTGGATCTTATGTCTTTTGGTTAGAGAAACAAGGAGAGTATTTGTCTAAATGTGAGACTAAAACTATCTGCAAGTCCCGTATTTTCTTCTTTTTATACTTAGTTTTAGGCATAGCCACCTTGCTGCCCCAGGTCCTCCTTAGTGCTTTGACCCCTAAAACCTTTCCTCTTGTTTTTCTATTTCGTTTTAAAATAGTCCGTATGCATGCAGGTAAATATCGAGATAAATGTATCTCTGAATGATACCACAATTATGAGCTGTAGTTAGAAATTTTATATTTATATATATACGTACACATATATACATATGTAAGTATATATGTACATATTGGCAGTATTACATTATATATATACTATATATACGTATATTATATATACACACTAGAGGCCCAGTGCACAAATTCGTGCATGGGTGCGGTCCAGCCGGCCCACCCTGATCTGGCCGATTGGGCTGGGCCAGTTGGGGGGCAGGGGACACGGAAGTTGGCCCCACCCCGTGGTCGAACTCCCAGTCGAGGGGACAGTTTGCATATTAGCCTTTTATTAGATAGGATTGCTGATAGTTAACAATTGTCAATGACATTGAGCTGGGCTTTAGACATTTCCTAAACACAGTTCTTGATGTTTCTGGAAACCAGAAAGCCCATACTTTTCACCTGCAAACCCTTTATGTGCAGGTGGCAAAACATCTATGAAAGGCAAACCTAATCCAATTTTCTTCATCTGTTTAAAAAAGAGAAAGCAAAAAACTTGGAAGATATCCACGTGGGTAAAAGGAAACGAGGTTGCTCTGCTCTGCTTTGTGCAATTCATTTAGTCGCAGTGAAACTAGACCCCATCCATTTAGAAGAGGACTCACACACTCAAGTCTCAGGCATGTTGGACACACACAGAGAACGTACTCGTAAAGGTCATCTGTGAAGACCGTCAGGGTATACTAAGTACTCGGGTAATGCATGAGTTTGCAAACCCCAGTAGCATGCTTTTCTGGAAAAAAATCATTCTTCAAACAAAAGTGTTCATTTTAGAAACAACACAGAGAGGATGAAAACATCAACATTTTAAAAAATCTAATCCCATCGATTAACATCTTTGAACTTATGGCTGCTTCTGTGTTTGATGTTCTGATCTGGCACACATGCTTTCTAACCATAAGTGAATCTATATCGCTCTTTCTGGTAATGAAACAGTCATGACAGGTACTTCCATTTTAAATATTGAGGAACTATATATATATATCAATATAAGTATATCAATGAGTCAAATAGATACATATATCTATTTGACTCATTGATATACTTTTAATTATTTTTGAAAAATAAATGCAATACATGTAACTTCTATAGAATTTCTTTTTAAAAAATAAAGGAATACACTTTGGGAATAACAGCATTTCAGGGCTGGTTCATTTAAAGTATGCTTAGCTGCCCTCCTTCCCCTCCTGTGCCCCCCCCCCCCCCCCAGCATTTAAAAAAAATAACAAGATGTGTAGCAATGCAGTCCTTGGAGAAAAATATTTTTTTTGTAGTTTGCTATTTCAGAATCATGCTCTGAAAGTGGAGAGAAGGTGGAGGTGTAAGGATAGTTTTCATCTTCACTGGAGAGGGGGCAGGACCCACCCCCCCAGCTCAGCCTCACTCAGCGCATCACCAAGCTACTGGGAAGTTCTGTTGCTTGGTGATAACTAAAACCCAAACTAAATGCCTGGCTTCTATTCAATGTTAAGGGGCTTCAGGCTCCATTTCTCTAACCCTGATAAAACCCAGCGGTATTATATTCGCTTCTGATAAAAGTTAAGTGTGCCCCTGCCACCTTCAAAAGGAATGTCTAGCTTCTTGGTTTCACTCCCATCATTAACAACACCCTTAAAATATACATATTTTTCAGGATAAAGTTATTAGATGATATTTTGATAATATCTTATCCTATGATTCACTATGATTAGAATTATTCTGACACTGGCTGTTATTAACACTGGCCCACAGATAATCAATGATTATTTCAACAGGAATCTGAGAAACCTTACAAACTTTTCAAATTCCCTGTGCAACCAGTGTTACTGTTGTGAATTTGTAGAAGTGTCATCATCAACCCAATTCTTAACAGGCAATATAGTCCTGAATGCTATGTTGGCTGCCAAGCCCATTTTCTTTCTTTTTCTTTTTTTTTTTTTGCCAGTCTAGTTTCGGCAAGTATAGACCCAATAAGCCATTCCTCTGTTGAGTGGCCCTCTTCATAAGAGACAAATCAGCCCCAGCTGGTGTGGCTCAGTGGATAGAGCATCAGCCTGCCTACTGAAGGGTCCAACGTTCAATTCCAGTCAAGGGCACATGCCTGGGTTGCAGGTTCAATCCCCAGTGGGGGGCATGCAGGAGACAGCCAATCAATGATTCTCTCTCATCATTGATGTTTCTATCTCTCTCTCCCTCTCCCTTCCTCTCTGAAATCAATAAAAATATTTTTTAAAGAGACCAATCAGATTATGTGCCATCAGAGGAAGTGAATCTTAGTGCTAGTGCGATAGAGACCGATTCATTTCTTTTGCTGAAGTCCCACCCTCTGAGTGACAGCTGGAGGACAAAATGTCAAGGAGTCCTGTTGGAGCAGTTGCTTAGGATGGTGTTTAATACAGCAGAGAGCCAAGGTACAGGAGGAGGGCACAGAAAGAATGCGGAGTGTGCAGACACAGTAACGGATCGCGGCTGGTGATCTGCCATCTGTGACTTGAAAGAGGCATAAGTGAGGGGACTCGAGGACTCTCAGTTCTCCATACATGCAAAGGTGAGCGCGCTAGTACAAAAGTTTTGCCATTGTATGTGCTGAAAGGAAAGCATATGCATTTAAAACATTTTCTTAAAAAATAAATCACTTGATAGCTGTAAGAAAAATACTCTAGTTCATAGTCCATTGACCTGACCTTTTGAGTCAAGATCAGGGAATGACTCCAGGATGAAAACCAAAACACAAAACAGAAATGAATCATTGACCACGGAAGAGGCAGTTCCAGTCTCAGCTAACCTCGACTAGTGTTTATTGCATTATTTTTGAAATGCCAAGAAACTGGCTTTGGCCATAATATTTGCTGTCCAACTAAATCATAGCTGTCAATAGGCAATTGCTTGCGATGATTAGCTAAACACCATTATTTGACAAGTTCCCTGACAAGGGACGCAGATGCTGTCGATGTCTGACACACACGGAATTAGTAAGTAATAGTCCACCCGGCTGGGCTGCCGAGCAGGGAGAGAAGGTGGTACATTGTTGCCCAGGGAAGGGGTTTCAAACAGCCTTAATTTTTTTAAAAACACACGTTTATACAGATCCTACAAGTCCTTTCTGGTGTTTCAGGAATGACTTGTGGGACGGACCACAGAGAAGGGGAAAAGCCACTAACTCTAGATTCATTTTTTAAAAGGAGATTAAGGGAGGGAGGAAGAAAAACAGAAATGGGAACGTGGGATGGTAATGGTTTCCACCACCTAGAAAAGGAACATCATGGAACCTGCTAGCAACATCCACCAAAGCAGTAAACCCCTTCGCTGGCAGAGATTCAGTACAACATTCACATGAATTAGCAACGCCACCAGCACTTAGGGCTGCTGTTTAAAGAAACAATATTCAAAAACAGAATTCTCAAAGGATTTGAGAACAGAGTGAAAAGGCAATGCTAGCTAAGCTCGTAGCTAAGTCCACTCTTAATGGCCCCCAGTATTTAAACGATCATGGAGTAAAGCCATGAAAATAAAAATTTCAATTTGAAATTTTATTAGCATGTTGCTAAAATGGTCAATAAAAACATCAACACGATATGCTTGGTTGACATAGTTGGAGCACTGCCCCCTCGTTGTTTAAAACTTTATTTGCACTTCCCCACCTTCTAAGATTTCTGTTAGGAAAAGCCAAACTAAATAGACCGGCGCTGGCTTTGTCATAATGCTGGTTTCTGGAACACTGCCTCGTCTTCTCTCTCCCTCTCCTCCAACCCCTTTAGAAATAGGATGATTTTTGAAATGCAGCCCAAGGAGGAAGCAATGTAGGGTGAAGAGCAACAAGCGCCCTTCTTGCCTGGCCTGGGCCGGGCCTGCGCCATTTCCCTCCCGTCAGGCTGGGGGGCCTCACAGGGAATGCGGGGTGCGAGGGGGTGGCGTGCGCTTCCCTGGGTGGAAATCATAGGAAACAAACACTGTCTAGCTTAGCCCGCAGCCTGGAATACAAAACCAGCAGGCCTGGGGGCTGGAGAGCTGGAACAGTCCCGGGCAGCCTCGGGGTGACCCGGAGTCCCTAGGTGCTCTCTCGTGGTGGAATGATTCACAAGTGCTTAAGGGACAGGCTCGATTTCTTGGAAATCCTGCAATCTGGGGACATATCCATACCGGAGTGAACTGCGCCCTGAAAAGATCCACCCTCGCCTCCAACAGGTCTTTCTGTGCATTGGGGGCGGGGATGGTGCCTCTCTAGTAGGTGGGGAGGTCGTTTCTAAGCAGTGACTCGTGGGGGCAGGCGAGTCCCTGCTCCCCTCGGCCCATCCTCCCTCTCCCCCTTCTAAGGCGAGGGGAAATGCACACTGGTTCCCAGCAGGATCGCCGCCACTGGGGGGCTCCGCCGCGCGCGGCTGTCCGTGCAGTCCAGTCCCGTGGCCGGTTCCTGAGACTTCAGGCCACTGGCTAGAGGGGTGCGCGGGGGCCGCTTGGGCGCTGGCCCCCGCGGCGGCGGCAGGTGCAGGAGAGGATTGAGGTGGTGGATCCTTGGCCGGGGAGCTCTGGCGCTGGGAAGGAAGCGGGCGCGGGGAGACAGGGGCGCCGGCGGCACCCGCGGCTACTCCTTGTCGTCCACCAGGTCGGCGAGCTCCTGGAGCACCCGCAGGCGGCCGCTGGCGTCGATGCGGCGCTTCTCGCGGATGAGGTCCTCCAGGCTGTGGAACCGGGCCGTGTGCACCTTGTTGTCGCCCAGGTGCACCTTGAGATAGTACTGCTGCTGCGGCGGCGGCGCGCCGGCCGGCACCTCGCCCCCGGCCTTGAACTCCCGCTTGCCGAAGCGGCACCAGGCGGCGAAGCTCTCCGAGTTCGTCCAGCAGATCTCCTCGCTCTTGAGGCCCAGGTGGCCGCAGGCGTTCTGCACCACCAGCTCGGCCAGCAGCGGGCGGTAGCGGTACCAGCTAGTCACCACGCGGCCCACGTTGGCCGCGCCCGCCGCGTACAGGCTGTCCTGGCGGATCTCGCCCCGGTGCAGGTGGATGACCTGCCCGCCGCCCACGTACACGGCCCAGTGCGGGGCGGGCGCCGGCGGCTCGGGGGCCGGCTGCAGCCACAGCAGCTCCAGCAGGTCGCCCGGCTCGCAGAGCGCAGGCAGCGCGCTGACGGCGCAGACGCTCAGGTCGGCGCCCTGGGGGCCGCCGCTCACTTTGGAGAAGATGCATTCCTGGCCCCGAAAGGCGGAGAACTGAGTCTCGTTCAGGACCAGCTGGTGCAGCAGGTGGTGGTGGTGGCGGCTGGGGCTCTCTGGGCAGGGCGTGCACCCCGGGGGCGCTTTCACTCCAAACTTGTCCGGCTGGCCGCGCTCGTCCAGGTCCTCCTCCTCATCCGAGAAGAAGTAGGCGACCCCGACCCGTAGCTCGTCCTTCTCGATCCCAGAGGGGTCCCCCGTGGGCAATTCGCTGTAGTTGAGGTGGGTGATGCGGTCCAGTTGGTTGCCCATCAATGACGCACGAGGCAAGGGCCAGGAGCGGGGATCTGCGAATCCAGAGGAGAGGCAGAGACGCGATCAGTCAGGCTGCCCCTCCCCCGCGGGACGTGTGGTGCCCCTGGGACTTGCCCGCCCACCCAGGAGACCTTACTCTAGTCCCTGCGAATCTCCCGTGTCACCCCAGGGGGCATGCCTGGCACGGAAGTCACCGGGCTGACGAGCGAGAGTGGACGCCACCAGACAGCCTGGGACTCCTTCCGGGAACTGGGTCCAAGTCCCCCGAGAGAAAGGCAGGCAGGCTGGAGGGTGTGCGGGGTCCCAGTGGGGAGGACAGCGTGGGTTGTGGCGGCGTGGGAGACCGACTCCCAGGAAAGGGCGGAGGGGTCCATTGGCAGGGAGAAGGGGCGCCCAAGGCCCTAGAGCTGCGCTCACATTTCGGTCCCCGCCCTCTCCAGCCCACCGCTCAGTTTTGCACCGGGTCGCACGCCTTCCCTGCCGGCGCGGCGCACAATGACACTGGGACAGACTCCCGGGCGCTTCCTTGACACACCAGCAACATTTTGCACACTTGGGGTCTAAACACAGGCTGGTACCCTGGTGCGATGTTGCCACATAAGCACACAAAGGCAAACCTTCGCGATGGCCCACTCCGACCCCCACATCCGTACACAGTCCCAGGCCCACGCTGGCACGCACCCTATCTGTGCACCTACACCCCTGCACGGCACATCTGGCCACCGGGTGCACGCCGCCCCTGACTTCTCGCCTTCGCCCCAGCACAGTCGATCGGGCTGCGCCAGGGCGAGGCTGCTCTGTCTAAAATAACCGAACAAAGAGGCAAGGGAAGGAAGGGGGAAGCCAGCGCGGTGTACGCGTGTGGGTGTGGGTGTGGATTGTGTGGGGAGCCCACTTTCAGCCCCCCAATCCCTCTCCCTCCTACCGGGCACAGGGTCCAAACCATCGAAGAGAAAACGTCTCCAAGGCAAAGAAAGCCGCCTTTCCGTACCCGTGATTTCCCTGCTCCCGAAACCCCAAACTCCTTTAAAGTCTCCTGGTCCCCATGGGTACTGCGGAGGCAGTGGCGGCAAGTGGGTCCTGGGCGGCGCGTGGGGCTGCGGCGGCTCCGCTCTGCCCCGCGCGGACGGTGCTGTGGGGCGCCCGGCACGGAGCCCCTCCGTCTGCGGGTCGCCGGGCTGGGGCGCCCGATCCACCGGCACAGTCCCGACTGGATTCTGGTTTCCCACGGCGGAGGCGGCGGCTCTAAGTAGCCGGAGCCCGGCGTTCCAGGGCCCGCCCTGCGACGCGCTCATTGGTTGGGGCAGGTGCCCAAGGTCTGTCAATCTCCGCGGGAGGGGGCGGGGAGTGGGGGGCGGGTCTCCAGCGCGCGCTCCGCCCCTCCCGCCCCGTCCCCCGCGCACCCGGGCGCGCGCCACTCGGGGAGCGGGGGGCTGGGGGCGTGAGCGCTGCGGGAGCGCGCGAGGGACACGCCGGCACCCGCGCCCCCAGCTCCAACACCCGCTGTGCCTGAGCCTCTCCGCCCGCGGTTTGCGTTCAGGGAGTGAGGACTCCAGCGATGAAGCTGAGCCTGGGGGTGGGGATGGGGAAGAGACCCCGGTGCACTCCGGGCGCTGAGGCAGCCAGTGGCTGGGAACCACATTGTCGGAGGCAGGCACCTGGGCCCTGCTGGGGCCCCCGGGCCTGGGTTCCTGATGGCCCCGGGGCTGGTCCTGGTTCCCCAGACCTTTCCCTGCCAGGTGCATTCGCCTTTGAAATTGCACCTATGACGTGAGGCTCCTCTCCGGGCATCGGCGCAGGGTTTAAAAGGAGCCCCGTGTGAAATGCCACGGGAAAGTGGGCCCTGGCCAGCCCCTTCCTGTCTATGAAAAGGGTGATCACAAACGCCGAGGGCAGCACATCATAGTGTTTCTGAGGCCCAGCACCATCTTTGCTAAAGAAGTTTTGTTAGCTTTCGTGCGAGAACAGTGCCCAGCAGTAATTAATGATCGCATTTCTGGATGGAGAGTTCATGAGTGAATGTGCTCTGGGTGGATGCTGGATGCCGAAAGGTAACTTTCATACAGATGGAATTCTAGATCGACGGTTTAAGGAAGCTTGTAAAGTTCAGCCTTAAAGAGTTCTTAGGCATCTGGTTGCCTTTTCAAAACAACTGGCTGCAGCAGCTTTGCTGCGAATGTCCCCTCTTTCCCAATAGAGAGCAGGGGCTTCCTCTCTGTGCCCCTTGGAGGCTGTGCCCGCTCTTGGGTCTCTTATCCTGTTTAAGTGCCAACCTGTGCTGACTTCCTTCCTCTGCACAAAGTGAACGCCTTGTGGATTGGCTTGTGCTCTGCACAACTTTGCATCCCGGGCCCCTTTCACGTGCCAGGGACAGCAGGCTCCAGCAGCAAAAATAAAAATGGGAATAGCCCATGTGGATGGACCATGGACAGGTGGCTAGGCACTGTGCTCAGAGGGTTAAGCAAATGAGTTAATCTTCACGCTTCTGGGGGGGGGGGGGGTCACTTTTGAGAATGTAAGTTGCCATCCTTGGAACTGAACACAAGTTGTGATGATCTTTAATATATATATATTTGCTGTAAATAATAAACAACTTATTTTGGCCCTGAAGTTAAGAGGATTGAACAAATGGCTGCAAAGATCAAGAAGTACATTACATACCTGCCTATGACCTGGACTTCCGGGGTCTCTGGGAGGGAGGGTCTGAGAGTTCATGGCTGGGGTCTGAGGGGAACATGTTGAAACCAGCTCAGGGTTTATTGTGGAGTAGCTTTTTAAAAAAACCCTCTGTCCGTGTCCAGATCCAATCTGTACACAAACATTTACGATGCATCTGCTCGGAATGCTGTGTTCTGTCCTACCTGTCCTATCTCCCTGTGCCCCGGGGGACAGAAGAACAGGCTGTTCTCAGCATTCTTGAGGATAATCAACACATACTATTTCCAGGGCTTCCAAACACAGCGTCAAAAGGTTCAAACATCAACATGCAACTTTGCGCATCTCCTTCCCAGCCCTCCCCTGTCTGCCAGGATAAAAGACTTACTGCTTGAGCAGCCACCAGGGAGAATAAGTTCCCTGACATCCCTCCCCGCTTTGAAGTATAAGGCAGAGAACACCTTGACTCTGAGACACTGGAAAGAGGAGCTTAAAGTAAAGGAAGGAAAATGCACCTGCCATTGTAGCCTTTTGGCAATTACGACAAAGAAGGAAGAAAGGGGCCGCTCAGCAGAAGGTTGGTGATGAGCCTAACTTTTCTTTTCATCACAACATATTGTTTGCTAATTGTTTCATTCGTCTGTTATTTCCCACCCCTCCTGCCTGCTTTTGCACTGGAAAAACAAACAAACACAGTATCACCAAAAGCAGAATATATTCATCAAAAGCAAACTCTGGAAGCCAGCTGGTTATAATTCGTTTTCAACGCTTTTGATCGGGGTGAGCAGGTGACCAAGTCTAGCCAATGGCATGTGGGTGGAAGTTTGGTAAATGGGTGCCAGGCTGGGCCCCTGAAACCATTAACACGGTTTTCAATGGACACGCCATGTGAAGATTTTCCATGCACCTTCATTGCCCACTTGGCCGTATGCGGGGATGCATGGTAGAGCTCCCAGACTCTAAACGATGAGGAGCCCCCGGATGGAAGGAGACACGGGTCCCCGAATGACTGTGTAGAGTAGAAGTTGTCCCCTCTCAAACATCCGCATTGGACTGTGATGTGAGGGAGAAATGAATACAGTTGGGTTAAGCCACCAAGAATTGCTGTGGCTATTTGTTACAGAGGTTAGCCTACCCTTTATTTTAGAACGAACTCAGAGCACACAGTACCCCACCCCCCCTCCGTTGCTCTCTTGGTGTCTGTTCGCACTGGTAGGGTTGACTTTCCATTGATGCACAGCTGATGATCTGTTCCTTGTTGTGATAAGTTCTTCTTTCTTTCCCCTCCCTGTCTACTGCGCCTCCTGGTTTCCCTTCACCTCCCCTGGCTAGTCCTCTTGGCATGTTTTGTGGGCTCACTTCGGTCAACGTGTGCCTTCCATATGGGTTTTCTTCGGATTCTGTTTCCAGGTTCTCTTCCCAGTGGATTGTCATGGTGAGATCTTGTCTGCTTCTCTGTCTTTCATCATAGTTCCCTGTGACAACTCCCTGATGGAAATCTCCAGGCCGCATTCTCTCCTGAATTACAAACCCAAACCCAGCCGCCTGGAAGACGTGTCTTCTGGCTATCCACAGGCCCCGAAAGGGCTGGCTGTCCCAGGCCGAGCTCTTCTTGTACCTGGGAACGTGCTTCCTTTCAGGTGTTTCCTTTTGTGAACAGGCCCCGTCACCCTCCTGGTTTTGTGAGCCAATGCCTGGGCACTCTGGGTCACTTTTCCCTTGTCCCCAGGCCCAATATCACTGTTCCCAATGCCTGTTGTCTGTCCCTTATGAATATCTTTCTCACCTGTCTATTTTAGTCCATTCCTACTGGGGCACCTTAGTCCCAGTCACCGGGAACTCCCATGGAAATTGCTGCCGCAGCCCCCTCATTGTGACCCCTGACCCCAGTGTTGCTCCCACGGCCATCTCCCACTGTTGCCAGAGGGATTTCTAAAATGTACATTCTGGCCTGGACAGTGTGGCTCAGTGGTTGAGTGTCAACCCATGAAGCAAGTGGTCACTGATTCGATTCCTGGTTATGGTACATGCCCAGGTTTCCAGCTCAATCCCCAATAGGTGGTATGGAGGAGGCAGCCAATCTATGTTTCTCTCTCATCATTGATGATTCTATCTTTCTGTCTTCCTTCCTCTCTCCCTAAAATCAATAAAAACATATTAAAAAATAAAATGCACATCTGGGGGTGCCTTCCTGCCTGACACTATACCCTCCTCAATCACTCTCACTGACGTTAGGAAAACATCTGAAGTCCATGTGCTACATCAAGACCAAGGCCGTGTTTTTCTGCTTCCCCTCATCTTAGACTACTCAGGGGGTCTTGCTTCTTGCTTCTGCCTTACTGATTACGCTGATTTGTTTGTTTTGACCTGTTTCCCTGCTCCTGTGATACCCATGCTCTTTCTTCTTTAAATATATTTTTTTGATTTCAGAGAGGAAAGGAGAGAGAGATAGAATCATCAATGATGAGAGAGAATCATGGATTGGCTGCCTCCTGCACACCCCCTACTGGTGATTGAGCCTGCAACCAGGCATGTGCCCTGACTGGGAGTTGAACTGTGACCTCCTGGTTCATAGGTCGACGCTCAACCACTGAGCCACGCTGGCGGAGCACCAAGGCCCTTTCTTGTGTTATTGCTCTGTTTCCTCTGCTAGAATTCTTCCCTGCCATGCTCCCGGGCAGATTTCCTGTAGATTTCTTTTCCTCATGGCAGCCTCCTTCACTCACCCCCAGCTCCCACTGCATCCATTCTTTCAGACTGTGTTGGCGTTGCCGAGTTCCATGTCAGTATCCATGGTGAGCTCTTTAGGAGGAGGGACTGCATGCTCCCGCCATTACCCCAGCACTCAGCTCTCTCCCGGCTGCAGGCCGCACTTTAATCCGTAGGCACTGAATACACTGGAATTGATAGCAACAGCTCTTGGGGTTGGGAGGATCTCTCTCTCTCTCTCTCTCTCTCTTTCTTTCCTCTACTCACCCTTCCATATCCCACTTAAATTTCCCTAGACCAGTGGTCAGCAAACTGTGGCTCGGCAAACTGCAGCTTGCAAGCCACATGCGGCCCTTTGGCCCCTTGAGTGTGGCTCTTCCACAAAATACCAACTTCTGCGCATGGGCCACGAAGTTTCAATTGCACTGTACATGTGCGCCTGCACATGGTATTTTGTGGAAGAGCCACACTCAAGGGGCCAAAGAGCCGCATGTGGCTCGTCCACGGTTTGCTGACCACTGACCTAGACCTATCCCAGAGGGCAGGATGTCTATGGTAACCGTATAATAATAGGGAGAGAGACGCTTTAGAGTTTAGTGAAAAAGGAAAAGTGCTTGTTGGAAAACAGGACAGAGTCAAGTATTCGCTTTGGTTTGCATTTCACTTGTTCTTCGAGGCGTTCCCTTTGGTGTCGTGTTTTTTTTTTAAAACGACCGGTGCTGATTCATTTTGTTTTCCTTGCCCAGGCCTAGGTTTATCGCAATGAGGTATTTATTTATTTTCCAGTTGTCAAACGTTTAGATCTAACTACACACATAGCACACAGTTAATGAAGTATGGCTTCTATTTAAAAACATGTACTTAACATACCACTCACATACTCCAC